CTCCTTGGTGGATGCAGGGTAGGGGTGGGGGGTGGGGATGGCTCTGGGAACAAACAAATATTATCAGCCCAAAACACCCTTTCAAATAGTCAACAGGCAGCAGGACTGGAAAGCCTTCCAAGGGAAGAAGTCTTGGGTAAGTCCTCTCGGGGGCTTTTCGGGAAGCTTAAGTAGGTGGAGACGCTCCAAGAACAGAGCATGATAAAAAATAGCAAAATACAGAGAACACGTGCCATGGCCACCAACCTCAGCCATCCCCTCAGAGTGAGATAAGCCCGGAAGCCTTGCATACAGATTTATTTTCTGAAATTTTCAATATTCCTGTGAAAGAGGCAGAACAAGCATTGCCTCTATCAAAAGGAAAGAAAGGGGTTGAGAAAGGGCAGTTGGAGTTTTACCAGAACCCTGAACATTATACGCATACACAGCCACCTGGTCCTTAATAATGATAGAATTTGTTGGGATTGGGCCCACTTCTCCCAAAGAACAGCGATCCAAGGTAGAGATTTCAGATTCTGAGTCTGAACCAGAGGAAGAGGCAAGGTTGGAATGCACAGCAGAAACGCCAATGTTAGTAAATGGAAAGATAAGCTGAGAAGCTGATGAGAACCAGTGCACCTCTGGTCTAAGGGGAGACAGTGTAGAACAGGGAGGGTTGGAGTAGGAGGGATGTGAATTTTTCAGCACAGTGGTTCATCATCAAGTCAAACAAGCAGACCAGTCAAGTGTGGTGTTCCCACATCTGGCCCAAAAGCAGTGCAAACCTCTCTGAGGAGATAGCCTGCTTCTTTGGAGGGGAAGGGAAGCGGGGGTTTAGTTTGGAAGCAACTCCTGGTATGGGCAAGAACTAACCCCTTGGTTAGAGGGATCAGTGACTTTATGGAGGCTTCTTGTTAATAATGTCTGTCTTACTCACTCAGCCCCAACTGTGCAGCCTAACTCAATAAAGGGCTGTGGTTAGAAGCCTTTTCCCTTGATCTGCTGGGAAAGGAAAAAGGAAAAGATGTACTTCCTACAGAATCTTTACTGTGTTTTCAAATATACAGTCCTGTGCAACTGTGCAGCTGCTCATGCAATTTTTGAAGAACTTGATTCAGCCCATGTGCCATCCCACATTCCCCATAATCAGTGCATTATACTGTGGCTTCCAGTACTGAATGTTATTAATAGCAAAGGTGATAAAGCATATGTGACCTTTCAAACTCCTGTGTAGCACATAATCATGGTACAACTAGGGCAGATATTCCATAATATTCCTTAATGTCCTCCCACAGAGCAACAATTGCATGTTGGGGGGGGGGGGGGGAGAGAATGTAGACACAGCAGTGCCTTGGAAACAATACTGCCTCCAGGGTATACTATCCTTTGGATTAGTGGGAAGTGAGTTTAGTGGGTGCAATTTGCAGACAGGATTGAGCACTTTGGGTTTAGAACTTAATCCATGCCTCATAAAGCCAAGTTTCTTGCTTCCTGAGCCATTGTAGCCGGCAGAGTGAAGATAAAGGTGTAAGTACATTATCTGCATTGGGACTCTTGCAGGAGTCAGCCAGAAACGATTTGGAAGAGGGGTAAAGTAATAAACAAAGAAAGGATAAAATAAGGTCTGCCTGTAATGTCGCATAGAAAAATAGTATATATTTGGGGAATGGGATGTGGAATAATTTGGAATTTCTTCAGGAGTCAACAGAGATAATGTTCTCCAGAGGTTGCTTGATTCTAAATTATGCCATAGCATTACTAGAAAACAGAAGCACATGGCATTAAATAGCTGTGTATTTTCAAACAGTGAAAACCACAAAGAAAAATAAGCTCAGAGAAACTCGAGAGCTAGAAATACTGTGACCCTCTTACACAGTCACTGTATTATTCAGCAGCCAGTATCCCAGTTATGCGGGCAAACATATTGGGCACTGTTGTACAAAGAAAATATATAACCCAGGGAGCCCACCTGGGCAATGGAGCAACATTCCAGGTAATGGAAGAAGAGGGCGACATCCCAAGGTCGCCACACCAGCCAAATGACTAGAGAGAAGAGAATCACAAATAAGGAGAACAGAAAGGTTTCAGCCTCATAAGCCAAGCTGATTTCTCTGCCTCTATTAAGCAGTTTGTGCAAAGCTAACACACTGAAAGGCCTGGATTTAAAAGCCACTTTGATGTGCATAGACAGCATGCAGGCATGCTAAGGGTTAAGCACACAGAGTGTGTCAACCTTGGTTTCCTAATGGTATGCAGCCAAAAGAATTATTCAGCCAAAAGTATGCATGGACAGGCCATTTATTTCTGCTTATGCAATGGGAGAAGCATGAGCATGTGGAAAATCTACAGCCTTCGGAAGACCTTGTCCAAATTCATACGCAAAAACAGATGACACAAATATAGCCTGCCAACGTTTCTCATTGTCAACAGTGGAAAGCAAAAGACAAGCACTCCTTTCGAGCCAACACCCGCCTGCCAACCTGTGATTAGTCTCCTGCAAGAGACAAAAATCTCTCAACACACCTTCCCTTAGTACAGAAAATGGTGGTGGTTTCTGCCAGGCCCCTGGCAAAGCAACCCTGCCTCCAGCAATGCCACTGAAAGCAGTAATTATAATTAATGCTGAGACTCCAAGAGCACAACTGTTTACAGCATTTAGTGGCTGAAGGAAGGTCATTGGCAATGCAAGAAGGAAGCTGAAGCTGCCCTACTTTCATCACTCCACAGTGACAGTGATAGCATTTGTTTGGGTAAATCTACGTTTGCCAACCAGCCATTATTTTAGTGGCCTAACCAGTAAAACTGCATTCTGGGAAGTAACCAATATCTGTCTCTAGAAAGGCAAAAAATGCCAGAGACAGGTCACTACTGACCCTACCCTGCAGAATCCTTCACTCCTACCCATGACCCAGTAAATGCCCGCAACATACACACACATGAGGGAATTCTACTTCGTGTATAATAAAGATACACATTATTTCTCCTATATCACCTTTATTCTTTAAATATCATACTAACTTCAACAAAGTCCCTCAATCAGCAGAATTTAGGATAGAAGTAAGAACAAGAACAGAACATAAAAATTCAGAAAAATACCACTGATTGTTTTCCAGTTTACCAACATAATCCTGAGCTTCAAAGACCAGCCCAAACATTTCTGAAAGCTCCCAAGACTTGGAAAATGTTTGTTTTTATTGTTATTATGTATCTATTTAGAACTGTCTGTGCCTTAGGCACAGACTTATTTAGAACTCAACTGCAGTACAAGACATAAAGTTTGCATACAAAATGCAATAAAAACCAACAACCTTTATAACTCAGAAAGAAACTGAGAAGTAACATAAAGAAAAGGCAAACTAGGATAGAAAACTGTTTAAAATAAAGATATCTTTATTTTATAAGCATGTCTTTGCCCAGTGCTGAAAATATTGCAAAGCTGCCATTTGTGGAGGTCGGGGAAACTAATGAGAAATATGAGGACGATTTGCTTTTGCAAATGTAGAACTTCTCCTCCCCAGGAGACTTTCACCTGCCTATTCGATCCAGAGTTTCATCCTTACTAGTATCTCTCTTTACACCTGCTGGGGATGTATTAAGTTACAAGTCTTTTGGACTTTACATAGATTCAGCCTTGATCAAGCTAGCCCTATCCCACCCTCTAGCTGTATTTTTAAAATAAAAAGTTAGCAATCCTATTTATAAATCCCAAACATGGTGAAGTGGGTTGTACTGCATGAAGGTTAAGCTGCTGCAAATACGCTAGTCTTTAAGGTACCACAAGACTTGCTGTTTATAATCAATGATGCTAGAAATATCTTGAAATGTGACTTGAGAATTCACTCATTGCCATATTTTGCAAGACCGGTCAGGGGATTCTGGCAGTTGTATTTCACTCTGCCAGTGTAGAACCCGCTCTTGTAACTTTGAATCCTTCCCCTTCCAGATCAAGACTTGTTGCAAATACATAGATAGTAGGTTGTAATTCTGCCCTCCACTGTTTACTGCAACTTTGGGGTGCCCATGAAGGTAAGCACAGAAAGATAACACCATTCAAATAAAAAGGAACTAGCAGCTCCCATTTGAGCAGTTATCAGATTGCTTTGCAGCATTTTTGCTTGTTTTTAATATCAGAATTGTAATTCTGGTATGCACCCACAACAGAATTAAAACACAAGGGGTGACTAGTGCTTTGTTTGAATAGAAGTACATTAAGTATATTCCATTTTACTGAATGCTGTAAGCTCTGAGGGCTACACATAACCTGTGCAGAGGCACTGTACTTGTGTATTTCCTTGATGAAGGGAAAAGACCATTGTCCTTATGCCCAATCATGAGCTGCCCAGAAAATTCTGCCTGTCACTCTGGGTTGATATTAAACTAGATGACTTGATCCAGCAAGGCAATCCCTTACACGGAGGCCTTTTTAAAAAGAAAAGTCATTTCCTGTGGTTAATGATGGGATATTGTCATTCTGTTTCACAGGATGCAGGTTAAAATTATTCTGTTTTGTCTTGAACTGAATAACCATCTGAAACCATTCTAGTGTTTAGAGCAGAGATGTCAGACTTTGGGCTCACAGGCCCATGTGGCATACCTGGGGTGCCAGACTTGTACCCCACTTGCTGCAGAACTTGGGTAGGCAGGTGGTCTTGCCCATACCCTGCTGGTGGGCCACAGTGTGAAGAAAAAGCTGGTCTAGATGGGCTTTCTCTGATCCAACATGACACTTTTTATCTTCTTCTAGGGTCCCAGTCTGGCTCTCCAAGGTTCCTCAGACATCCACGTTCTATCCCTGTTTTCCTGTCTGATGCTTTCCCAACTTTAGCTTGTTTTCCCCCAGCTCTAAAAAGGCTGGCATACCTCTGCTAAGCTTTAGCTGGAAAGATAAAGTGGGGGAACATCTGAAGAATTCCTTTAGATTTCATAGCGTTATAAAAACTAAGAATTCCCTGGCATGACAGTCCAAAAAATAGACCTATTCAGACATAGTTTTAAAAATCGTCACAGGACTCCAAGACAAATCACAATTTTTAAAACAATTTTTATTATTTAAATATTAAATAAAACACAACTAATCATTTTGGTGTACATCTCTTATTTTAACATAAGAAATAAAATGATCTTCAGTAATGATAAAAATAAAAACTATACATCTTAATTAAATCAGTCACATAGTGTCTATTGCATTGCAGTCTGCAGAACAGTACTGTTGAGAATACTACAAGGAGGGGCTGAGGAAAAAGGAGACAAAACCCTGACACACTGAAAATGACCCTTTTCTACTTCAGAACAGTTTCAAAGCATTTTCTATAGCAATAATGGGAAAAGGGTATTCTATTAGTAAAGTGCTTGTCATTGCTTAAAACACGAGTGTTGTTTTTGTGGCTTTTTGATCTATAGCAAAAAAGGAAAGTTGACAGAAGTGCAGGGGGGAAATACAATTCTTAAAAATGTGCTACTATTTCATGAAAATAAAGGCAACATTGTTGCTTTGTGATGATCCTGCTTGGCTTGTTTGAATCACTCCCCCATACCACATATCAAGCCATTCTGTTTGTTTTTCCCCCTCTCTCTCCTCACTGAAAGGCACCAGTCAGAGAGAAGGCTGGCTGGAGTAATTTCCCTTCACCTTGAAGATCTCAGAACACAAAGCAGTAGCAGCAGCAAGCTAAAGACACATCAATACAGATACTGTAAGCAGATAAAAAGATTGAAGAGCCACAGACATCTCCCTACAAACCCTTTCCCTCCCACCTACCAGACAGATACTCTTTGGCTTGATGGTTTAAAAAAATAGCTTTTTATTTATTTATTTATTTACTTTACATATATAACACTGCAGGTTGCACAAAGCAGTAGTAACTTGAAGGCACCCCTGTGTTACATTTAGAGAAATGGGTCCTTGTTAGACAAAATGAAGCAGTTTCAGACATCCGAACAGTAATTTTGGGCCAAGCTGGCTCACTATTTGCTCACCTGCAACCAACAATGGACCACCCTCCCATTTCCCCTCAGTGTGTAGCCTCCCCTTTGGTGGTCCCCCATTCCCAGTTTCTGGGGACTGCCAAAAGTCATCCTCTGGTCAGAGGGAGCAAATGCCAGGGAACACCAAAAAAGCTTATTTGAAAACCTAGCTAGTAGTGTATAAGGTAATCCAATGCCTATATGCACAAACACAGAGTATTAAAACCACACATACAAATGCCTAAAATAAAAAACCCTCTTGTCTATTCGTATGTAAAACAACAATATCTAGAAGTTGTGCTGTTTGTCTGACTTTAACTAGTTTGTTCAACAATAACAAGACTATGTCTAAAGTGTATTACTTTGTGCTATCCCTATTCCTTTCAACTGTCAGTATCATTGTCATTACTTTTGAATATTGCACATTTCCCAGTGAGACAATTCAATTTGGACCCTTAAAGAAAAAAGAAACGTATTAGCAGCGGCAACAACATGTACACAGCACTGAGAAATTCCTCATAGGCAACTTCAAAGTAATGCTTGGGCTTTTTGGAGGTGGCGAGGGAAGAGGTAAAAGCAACAATGTTTTGAAAGCTTCCCACACCAGCACCTCTTGCAATTCTGCTTCCATAACATCGCAGCCTTATATGAGCAACTTCATGCGACAGATAAAATATTCCTATTGTTTATTTACCAAAAGGGGGAGGAGGAGGAAGCCGTTTGCAACCAGGAACCAAATCCCCAGTGGGTGAAATTGCTTCTAATGCTTCTATTCTTAACTGCTACAACTGAGATGCTGAGCAAAAAATTCACAGTTTTTCTTCAGGTAAAAACATAGGAGTCAGGGAGAAAAAAATTGAGAGGTATTGGTTCCTTTAACATGAACGTCAAAAATGAAGAGTGATGCTTTTGTTATTATTCTATCAATGCACAATGTAACACAAAATACATGTTTTTGTTTTCAAAGAAAAAGGTAAGTCATGTTCACATATCCATAAACAAATACTGTGATTTATGAATAGGGTGACTCTGGTCCCTTCTTTGAAAAAGCCTTTCCCTGCTTTGCCACAAACCATTGACAGCTGACAAAGTCTTGCATAACAGCAGAGCTGTATTGGCCTGACTTTAATACAGTACCGGAAAAGTGTTCTCCTTGACCCCAGCCCAAATTCCCTGTCATATTTTCTTCCAAAAACAAAGGTCTGTCCTTTCTGTTTCTGGTTATATTTGTTCAGTGCAAGAATAGTTGAAGCCAAAAGACGTAAGTATTGCTTTTTTCTTCAGCTCTATAAAGTTAGGAGCTTTACTAAGCCAAATGGCCTCTTCACATATTTCAAACATGTTATTGCTTCTGAGAGTTATTCACCGTTGCAAAATGAAATAAAATCATATATCTGCAGAACTTAGTGACAGCAGCACTCTCTCTCTCTCTCCCAAAAGAGATGTGTAAATTAAAGAGAAAGCTGGGAAAAAGTTCTCATTTGACTAGGACAAATTTCCCCATCTGGGTGGAAGTAAGGTCTTCCATTTCACAGTCCCCATGCTGCAGAGTGACAGCATCATAGCTTGGAGATTGCACTGCAAAGCCATTCGGATTAGAAAACATGGAGGTTACTGGAGACACATTGCTGCTGATGCGCAGATGGGTGTCAAGAAGGTGAGCAGCTGAAGTTACTGGAGAGACCCCAATGCCAAAAAGGTGGGGCTGAAGAAACTGGGTATTATGAAAGGCCAGTTCTAGTGAGTTCTCACTTGGCAGTTCAGAGCGGAAGGAACCGGATGGTTTGCTGCCTGCACTGTCAGACAATGGCTTAGTGTGCAACTGAGACACCTGAGAGGGCTGCTGACAAGCTGGCTGATGATGCTGTAACTGGAGCATCCTAAATAGAAGAAAGGAGAGAGAGTGAAAAAGTTATTCATTTTTAATAAGCTTCCTAATGGCTGTTCTCACACAGCATGACCCTTCCAATGGCATTGTGTCTCCCTTGTGGGCTGTAACTTTTCTGAAATTAAGAGGACCCTAAACCTGAACAGACTTGACAACTGTCTGGGGAGGAGCCTGAATAGGTGTGAATAGGACCAAACATGCATGTGATCTGTCCACACAATATGCACAGCATAAAATCTATGTATCTATGAGGGTTTGGGTGGACTGAGGCTATGCACATTAGGTTCTACACATGTATAAAAACAAGCACTGAATATGCAAACCATGGGCTGGCTGGTGTGATCAGAATTTCCCATCGAGCATATGGCTTGAACGTCTGCACAGAACTCTTATCTCAACAGGAGGAGGAAGCAATGTGAAAGTAATCCTTGCCTCACTACAAATACTAAGCTTAGGTCTTAACTGGATTTTTTTTTATTTACCCAGCTGATAATAAAAAACAGACTTTCATTACACAGCAATTTGACTATATTATGTTTAAGCCACCTGAGCAGCCTCTGTTTCACAAAGTGATGCCTACGACACCAGTTCCTCAAAGCAGCAGACTGAGAATCCACTTTGCAATGTGAAAAACGTGCAGCTCATCTGATTTCAGTGTGAAAACATACTGCAGGCATCACCACAGCTAGCACTATATTGGGCACGTGTCTTACATCAGGTACAATGTCTTACCTTTGCTGCTGGAGCACCTCTTCAAGCAGGTTCCTGCTCTCTCTGTTGCTGCCGCTGCCGCTGCCACCACTGCCGCCACTTCCTCCGCTGCTGTATACGCAGGCATTCTGCTGAGAATGCTGGAAAGGGCCCACACCATTCCATGCTATCCGGGCAGATGAGGACTGACACACCTGGCGGGCAAGTCCTTTGATTTTATTCAGTCCCAGAAAACCCTTGGCTCTGGCATTCTTCCGTAGTTGCTGCCTAAATGCCTTCAAGCCTATGTAGGAAAAACATTTACACATCCAGTTACATGGTTAATCTTCTCCTTGGCACAACTCTACTTGGGCCTGCAAGTAGCTGCTATAGCCCCCCAGTCAATTCTGTCTAAGAACCACAGATCATCTTGCCCTTCTATACAAATACTTTAAGATTTGGAAACCAGGGGGTGGCGGGGGGGCAACATGTCAGTTGCTGCTTTCTCCAGTTTGCAATGTCACAAACTATACCGTTTAATTTTAGGTTATGCGCTGTGCGAACCTATCTAATGTGGTACATATCAGCCTTATGATGAAGGCAAGTGTCTGGAATACCAATCATGGAATCCCAAATTACTACTTGATAGAACTGCGTACATGGTAATAAGGGATGGTTCTGCTTAGATCGCCAGGAATGCTTTACCTTGGGTTAATGAGGTATCAGATGCTCTCCTTCCTTCTTGGAAGCTGACAGGCAACAAGGAAGCGCCACCCATGCAGCCCTGAGCCTGCAGTCCTGGTGTGCCTGAGTGGGAAGTCAGAAACGATGATGTAACTCTGGCTGTGGCGGGGTGACCAAGCGTCATCTGCTCTTCCAAACAGTTGCTCAGAGCCACACAGCCATCATTTGCTGACGAAGGCAGGCAGCTGTCAGAACTGGTTCCTTCAGTGGGGGTTGTGGAAGAGGAAATGACAATACCTACACAGAGGAGCAGATGGGACAGAAGAGATTATTTACAAATGAATACAGGAGTTAAATCATTTAACAAACTGACACAAGACTACCCTCTCCATCTAGAGAAAATCTGCCAGTAATAAAATCTTTGGATAACACTGCAACTAATATCAAATAACCTGAGGCCCACAGAGCATAATGCAATCCCCCTCACAGACCAACTATAACAGCAGCTAATTTAAACCCTGTACAAGTGATATTTATTGCCAAGGTAATATTATTGGTAAAACAACTAATAAATGCAATGAAGAATCCTCGAACCAGCACATTCAACAGCAATCCCTAGCCAGAATCAATGGCAGTGGCAAAGTATCCTATTCCAAAGTTATGTTGTAGGATGTGGGGGTGGGGCAGGGGGGCAGAAACAGCCTTGCAGCCAGGGATGATGCCTGTTAACAGGACTTTAAACAGACATGCAATGCTCGGGAGAGAGTAGAAGCACACAGTCTCCAAAGACCAGGACCAGGGAACAATGAAAACACAAAATAAAGAAAACAGTTAACAAGCCTTGCACTTGGTTTTAGAGCAGGGTTGGGCAATTTGTGGCCTTCCAGGTAGTACTGGATTCTCATCAGCCCACACCACTGAATATAGTGGCTAGGGCTGATGGAAATTGCAATCTGGAAGGCTACAAGTTGCTTACTCCTGCTTCAGAAAACAGCATATAGTGTCCTACATTTTAATCACTATAATTTAGCCACAGGACAGTAACCAAAGCAAGAAAAATAAGCATTTTTCAATGTGACAAGATGGTGTGGAAAGGGTTTGTTTTTTGGGTTTTTTGGCCAAAGGAAAAGTGGCACTCACATCTCCAGCTTCCACACAGCACATACTATTATAATTTGAGTTAAACTGGGGATGGATGGGTGTCAAGAAGCCATATTTTGACAAATATATTGCTGTTTAGGCCACAATCCTATAAAGAAAAAAAGCCCTACAGCACTCAACATTTCCCAGCCAATATTGTTGGCTGCTCAATGCTGGGAACTGTAGGACTTCTGTAATAATATGCCTAGGATTACTTATAAAATGCAATTTCCCCACCACTGTAACTCAGTACATGAAATAGGTGGGGAAAGAAAGGCAACAGATCCAAAGGCAGAACAGCAACATTTATCAGCAAATTCCTTAATGCACTAAGAGTAAGTGCTCTTCTATCCTCAAGCCACATGCTGTAGCCTTTCCTGGCATCACTTACATGGTGGGGAACACTGATAAAAATGCGTCGTCACTTCAGCCAGTGTGTGCCTGCGACTTGTGTTCAGAGGGAGACGAATTGGGCTAAAGGCTTTAATTTCCTCCTCCAGTTCCTTGTCCTGCCTGACTTCCTCACTGATGGTGGTTTCCAGGAGGTTGTTTGGAGAGACTGGGCGATTCCTAAAAAGACTGTTGAAGTTTGGATCCACAGGAAAGAATATAGGCTGAAAGGTCAAAAGACATAGGAAGTGATAGAGTGCCTTTGTTTGCTTCCTCCCTGTATCCTTCCCAGAACAATCCTCATTATCAGGGCTGCTGGAGTAGTCTGTTTTTTGGTATTTCTATGATACTCAAGGAGGTTTATGCAATTATATATGAATTTACATTGGAGTGTAAAGCAAGTAAGGGATGGATATTTAAATACACTCCAGGCACTTTTTGGCCCTAATTAACACCCCACCCCTGCTGAAATACAAACAGGATGCTAGAAGCACCAACCTGTAATGGGTTGCTTATGTCACAATCCATTTCTGCCTGCAAGGATGACTGAATCATATTCTGAGGCTGGTGGTACAGCAGAGATGATCTCAAGGTTTCAGTGGCAAGATTGTCTTGAGGCAACTGAAGGTAGAAACAGATTCAAGAAAAGTCATTACCTTCTGCTTTTACAACTGGAATGCTGGTTAACAATACTGCATAGTATGGACCAATACACAAAGGCTAATTAATTTACACTGTAAATGCGCATACATAATGGCTCAGGTTCAAACTCACTGTAGCAAGTCAAAAAATAAGCTGAGTGTGGACTTTTGTTGAATTGTGGGTTGTTGTGTTATGTGAACCTAGAGGTCCTTTTGGCTATTGGGCAGAATAACAACGTAATAAATACATAAATAAATAGCAGACTCATCTATGCTAACCAACCATAGTTTGTTAACCACAAACAACCCACAAAGAAAACTCAGGGTTGGTTTTTGGGATGTGAACTGTGGGTCACTTGTGAATAGCAAATCATTGTTCATTGACTTGCCCAGGATCACGCAACACAACAAGCCATGGTTGAGGAATGAAACATATTCAGCCCATACCCATACATGCCATGTTGTGAGTTCAGTTTTACATTGGAGGAGAGTACCACAGCCATTAGGATATTACACACAATGCTAGGATGCAGTTCGAGTCTGCCAGCTCAATCTGCTGATGCTGAACAGGCATTGCTCAAAACTTGCCTAATTTATTTTACTTCCCCTTTAGGAGGTTGCAAATGTAAGCCAAAACTCTGCAATCAATGCATAACATGCCATTATTGAAGGCAGGCACAAGAAGCCTCCTTCCAACCCACATTCACCCCACCCATGGTGAAAAATGCCTTCTGGACACAAGACTAAATGAAGCATTAGGGAAATACCTCCTTTGTACAAGCAGACAAATATACTGCCTTAGAAGTAAGACAAGGCACAAAGAAGAATAAAAATTGATGTAACCTTATGAATGACCACATGTGATCTTACCTCAATATTGCTGAAGTCTGAACTCCTTGGCCTTTGCTGGCGGCTGCTTACTGGACGATTTGACAACTGATTGCTTCGGTACTCCTTCAGGCGCTCCAGAAGAAGGTAATAAATTGCAGCAAAATGGTTGTAGCTGCTGTTTTGTAGAGACTATTAGGAGAGAGGAGAAAGAAAAGCAACTCTAGTATATAGGTATGTTCAAAAAGTAATTGCCACCTGAACTAAAGGCTGTAATCCTGGAAACATTTATTTAAAAAAAGAGTCCCTGAAATCAGCAGGGGTTCTTTCCAAACAAAACATTTAAAATGGATGGACTAGAAGCAAGGCAACCCCATTGTCATAAGGGTGAAGGTCAAAAATTGGGCCATATAGGTATTCAAGGCAGCAAAAAATGGGACACTTAGAACTAGATGTTTCCTAATCTCACATTTCACAATATCATGCTGGCAGCGGCATTTAAGGAGTATCTTCCTAGCATATCTAAGTAGCACACAATCCTACTGGCCAGCAGATATGCTTATATCACCAACACCACCCAATATACCTCTTTGTTAACTTGAAACCTCAGTGGAAAAGATGCTCCCCTTTCCTAGCACATTGGTCACTAACACATAAAGGCTGCTTAGACTCTTAGCAAGCAGTCAAGGCTCACCTCTACTGTCCTCTGCCTGTCGATGCCAAGAGTATGCATGATCCCCAGGACCTGCTCATTGTAGTCTCCCAGGTTGGAGTTGTAGTTCTGCATCGAGAAGGCCAGAGACTGCTGCTGCTGAAGAGAAGGGTCTGCTTGCATCCATTTGTGCTGTTTTATTTGGGCAATTGTGATTCGTTTTGTGGGGTCTACAACTAGCATCCGTCGAATGAGAGTTTCACAATCTGGTGAAGAGACAAGAAAGCAAAACTTGAATACAGAGATAAGAGGAAAGACACATCTTTGCAAATGGTACTATTTGAGGCACCTGATCCACAAGAAAAGCAAGCATTAAATAACTGTTTGATAAGCTAAGGCAGATCCATGTTCATAACTATTGTTCAGTTGTATCCCATTGCACAAAACTATTTAGGGAGCAATTCAATGGTCCCTAGACATCATCTGGGGGCAACAGGAAACTTGGGATTCCTAGATCCAAGGTCAGAAACAGCTCTGCCATTAGAGCTTCGAATCTGCACTCTGTACCCTCTCCCTCACTTTGCCTGTAGTGTGGAGAGAATGATGCCAGCTGCTTTTCCAAGCTCAAGAATTTGACCTCAGAGTAAGGCTGAAAGTGGTGTTCCAGTCGGCAGGAAGGGGAAAACACAGAAAGCACCAAGATACAATATATCGTGTGCCCTTTGCAGCTTCCTTTCCTCCCCCTTGAAAGCACCCCAGCTTGACAGCTGTAAATAGCTATCTTGTGAATATGCATAAGAGGAAGAGTGGGGGAACTGTCTCCTCAACCCCTCCTGCCCCATAAGCCTCTGAGTACAGACAACCCAACTGGATTGCACCGTTAATCTAGTTTTGAGACTGTGCAATCAAAACAGACAAAATGGCCTGCTTCTTCTCTTCCACAGGAGGAGAAAGAAACAACTGCTAGAAATACTATAGTCAAATGATAACATTTCAGTCCTTGACCCAAAATAAAGTAAAATAAAACTAAACTAAACTCTAGGTTTAAAAGAATACAGTAGACATTTGAGATATCCCTTTCTCTTAAATAAAATTCTGATTGCATCTATACTCAGAGCATAATTCTCTTCTACACTGTTCTAACTTTGTGTATGAGAAAGAAAATCTGACCTGGGAACATATACATTCAATATCAACACAGAGTGAAAGAGTTCTTCTACACACCCTCAAGATCTTACTATGTATTTCTACCTTTTTGCCCATCGTGTGCCTGGAAATACTGTGCAAAGCCTCAAAATTTAATAGATAACTAACAGTTGTGATTCCCAGCATAAGTTTAGTAAACATACCTTGGGACATGAAGTAGGGAATGCGGAATCGTCCTTCAAGCACCCTTTGTCTTAAAGATGGCAAATTGGGCCCATCGAATGGCAGAGAACCACAGACAAGGACATACAGCACCACACCAAGGCTCTGTCAATACAAAAAGGCCATGTCACAGACAGAAATGCAACCTCCAAAGTTTACTAAGCAGCATCACGGTGGATCACCTGCTGTGCAACAATAAAACAAAATGGAACCTAAAGCTTACCCATATGTCAAGGTGAGGACCTTCATATTCTTTTCCTTCAAAAACTTCTGGAGCTGCATAAGGTGGGCTTCCACACCAGGTGGAGAGAGGCTCACCAGATTTGTAGAAGTTTCCAAACCCAAAGTCTGCAAAGGAGAATGAAACAGACATTATCTACTGCTACTTTTAAAAATGCACTGATAATTAAAGTGAGAGGAGTATTCCAAGAGACCTTAGACTTCTTTGCTAAAATGTCTATTCTGACAAATATCAAATATCCATTATATAAATGTAGATTTTCAAAGGCTTTATCATGGGATCACACAATCAGGTAATAGGGAAATGATTTCAGGATGGACTATTGTATTATGTTGTAGCAGCATCCATACGAGAAGTCTCACCTGCAAGCTTGATGTTCATGTTAGCATCTAATAGCAGATTCTCTGTTTTGAGGTCTCTGTGCACTATGTGATGGCTATGGCAATATTCTACAGCTGAAAGGATCTGCCAGAACTTCTTCCGTGCTTCACTTTCACTCAGGTGCCCATGAGAAGTTAAGTGATCTGCCAACACAATAACAAACAAATAAATGCCTAGGATAAACCTCCCACTATCCTTAACCACAAAATGGCACTTCACTTTTATAATTATTTACCCTAATTTGAACATTTAAGCAATAGAATCCAAATCCTTAGTTTTCTTACTCCCCATTATCTGAACCAACTAATTAATTAGTTAATATATCTGACCTTTCAGCTATTCCAAACATAGGGTTATATTCAGTTACATTACCTCTGCTGGCAGAAGTCTCTTTGATCCAACAGAATCTTCCATGAGTGGAAAGTTTGGGGGAGGAAGCAATTGTTTTTAAATCCCCCATCCTTCTGTACCATCTGCCACCCACCCATACACTCCCTGCTCCAGAGGGTTGGAAAACACTTTGGAACAGTTCGGGAAGCGGCCCAGAGAGCTGAGGAAGAAAGATGAAATTTGCAAAAATCACCATCACACCATTTTCCTCAGATGGAAGCTTCTGCTGGATCAAAGAGTCTTCTATCAGTGGAGGGAATACATCATCACAAATGAAACCTATATACTTTAACTATGACATGTACTATATCTGTCCAGAGCAGTTGTGTGAAACTGAGTATAGTCTATGTAATTCCATGCCTACAGAACCCTAGGTAAACAGAACTTCTGTTTATCCAAAATGCTGATTCCCCAAGTATTTAGATGCATATTCACCACCCAGCATTCAAGTAAGGATTACAGTGCCTACTGCTAAGCTACTATGATGAGAACTTACCAAACATTTCTCCATTCTTTGCAAATTCAGTCACAATGTAAAGCATATCTTTTGTTTCCATAACCTGATGAGAGTGCAGAAGAAGGAGGGATGAGATAGAAAGAAGAATATATTAAAGATACAGACTTCTGCAATGTTTAATATATATTTGAGTAAAAATTAATTTACATGTAGTATCAACATAACATCCTTTTTTCAGCACTACACGGAATCAACAATGAAAAGCTATCAACAAAGACTAGGATTGTGTTTCCCTGGCTGAGTCTATTAATGTTGCAGTGGAGAGATACTCTTTAAATGATATTAATTTTTCCTGTTAATCTATATTAACTATAGATGCATTAACACTTTAGGACATATTCAGGCTCAAGTTAACAGTACTCATAATATCCCCATTAAAAATCACATCAGCAATGATTTCTGAACATACATTGAGGAGCGAACAAGTACTATCCAAATACCCCATTCACACTCGGCACTGTATAGATTTATTCACTTGGTATGATGCCAGACACATCTGTCTATCTACAACAGTTTTGTTTGTGCAAAAGTACTTCTTTATTTCTACCAACACCAAAGTGTGAATGGCTATTCCCTTATCAACCTACTTCTAAAAGGCATTGCCATTTGTAAACTATTTTAAAATGGTTTTAAAATAAAGCTTTAAAAAACAGTATTTGTCACTAACAGTTCCTAGCCTGCTTTTCCAGCAGGAAGTCATAAATAGGAAGACATCCACCAAAGGCAGGTCTCTTAAAAAGAACTGCACTTTTTGTCCAGTGGATGCCGGCTTACTAAAAAATGGTTCAGAACAAGAGCGACATCACAGTTCTTTCAGAAATTATTACTTCTAACATTATCTAAGGAAGTTTGAATATCAAAGGCAGGGAAAGAAGCTCTCTTCCAATTTATAAACACAAAGTGAAAAGCATGCATTAAAAATATATATATCTGAATTTACTGGAAGGAATAAGGCATTTTAAATGTTCTGGGAAAGATGCCAGTTGGATTTAAGTTAGACTTTGCAGTTGTAACTAAGTCATCCCATCCCCAAACTGGCATTTCACTTAATTCCTACTTCATTAAGCACCACATCAACAAGAAATAGGCAGATCTAAAAAGAAAAACTAAAGCTCCAAAAACACACTGCTTCATCATTCAAATAGCCTGATTCAACTTTGAGAAGATTTAAGCCATTTTCATAGCCTTGAAATACTATTTTGCTATGCACTGTTCCATGAATGCAAAAGACTATAATATATATGTATACTCTATATTGCAACAGCAAATGATGACAAATATACATAAATATGTGTTGCAACCTAAACATATGTTTCTGCTTTTCATGTGTGTTAAGTTCCTCCTGCCCAAAGTAATACCTGTGTTCTAGGTATTTTATGACACCAACTTATATTGAACTTTAGATCTCCTGTTTTCTTAAGTCATAAGATTATCCTTGATGATTTCTTAGACAGATTGTCAGAAGTCCATATGGTACTACTTCAGATGATTAAAAGAAATGTCTATTAAACCCTAAATATAAGATTTCATATGTTTGGGATCTATTCTGTTGTCAGATGACTGCAATCTCATTTTCTGCACAGTATATCAGTGTGCCCTAGAAGGCATGCATTGAAAATGAGACAACTAGAATAAACTATATTGGATTCCATTGTAGGATTTGGAGTTTCCAAAACCAATATTTTAAGTAAGCCTTTAAATAGCAGGCTGAACCACACCATATTTACTCAGACTAAATCCAGGTTCAAATATTAATGCAAACTGTTAATATTATATTTATTTATTAAATTTCTAATTGATTCATCTCTTTCAAAACCCTGTACTACAAAAGTATTTTCTTAAGTATAGTCATACATGTTGATAATTTACAAATGATTTGCAATTCAAACTAGTTCTAACTATCTTTGAATGGATTTTAATCCAATATAACAATATTAAGTATAGAATGCTTTCTTTGCTTGTGCATTTTAACAAACCGTAGCACTCATTCCTCGCCTGATAAAATCATATGCACTTTAAGATCCTTAGCCACCAAAGCTATAAAGATAAGTCTATAAGGTATGAAGTGGCCAGAACTGATCTCTTACCTGATACAACTTGATAATGTTGGGGTGATTCAAAAGCTTCATTATTTGAACCTCTCTATAGATTTTCTCCAAATTGCTTGGATCTAACCGTGTTTTGTCTATAATTTTTATTGCAACCTGCAGTTTCAAGAAAACAAATCCAGAAGACTTGTAAAATATGTTTTATTCATCATAATAAAGTAGCACAAATGAAAATAAGTGTTGTGAAAAGTAAAGCATATTTAGAAAAAAAACATAAACAATGCTACATTTCTGTTAAAAACAGCAAGATAGCATACAGTAAATGCCCCCCACCCCTGGAATATCAATGGAACTTATCAAATGCTAATTTCACAAGAATCAATAGGAACTGCATACAAGTAAGTGTGTGAGCAGCATAACCATATATTTAAGTGCTGGATATCACTGAATCGAAGTACATTTCTTCAGTAGTAAAGTCTGCTTAGAACTGACCTGTGTAGTAGTGCCAGTCACTGAATTTAACTAAAGTGACCACCACTCCTGACATTCTGTTTTATAGCTAGTCAAAAATACATATTACAGGCTACTGCAAACATTCAAAAGAGGTAACAAAGATTCAACTGACATATTTTTAAGAATAAGAGCTCCAACCTTTGGATCCTGACCACTTCTGTTGAAGTTAATGTTAGCTGAAGGTGAACTGTGCTGCTTATTTCAGAAAACTGATAACCACTCAGGAAAGCAGTACAATAACTACAGCTTGTTTTCATTAATCCAGTAAAATAGTAAAATCAGAACTAGCAAAAGACTCAATTGTTTCAAACTGTTTTTGACACAAATTTAAAGTGCACACTAAAATGTTCCTGCTAATTTAATTAAGTTTTGGTCTATTAAGCTGTCTACTCCAGAGATACCCTATTGATGTAAATTAATCTATTCTATATTTGTGGAAGCTGGAAACCCCACAAAGCAAAATTTCCCAACTCAATATTTGATTTTCGGTTCAGTAGAATATCACACCCACCTGTGTTTTGGTTACTCTGTGTCTGGCCAGTTTTACTACAGCAAAATTGCCTTTTCCCAGTGTCCTCTCAATATCATAGAATCCAACCCGAAGAGGCCTTTGCTGGCTTTGGTTTGTGGTGGGAGCAGTTGTATAATCTGACATGATCACCATGGTTTGATATTAGTGGGTGATGAACACTATTTAAAACTGTTCACATAAGCATTCCTCTTTGAATATTGCAATTTGCACCTGCAAGAAGAAAAATAACCCACCACTGAAACATTTCTTTCTTATTTCTGCCCCCTACATGCTTTCCCAAATCACCTCTAGTTTCATATTGAAATAGATAAAATTCAATCCAGCAGTGCTCTAAAACATGCTTAATAAGAAACCTTCCCTTGTTCTGCAGTTAGAAACCCAGATTAACTGCAAAATAAAATCACTCTGCAATTTAGAAAAATTACACAGAACTTATTAGAGATAGGTAACTGTAAAAGGCCAAGGAAATTTTAATAGCACTAAGGAAGAACAGTCTCTGCAAATATCTACAATGTAACCTGCGTCTGTGCTTAAATACGTATCCCCTTAAACGAAAGTACAGAAATGTCACGAAAAACAAACGGGACGGGATTCGGGGACCGAGGCGTTCAGATAAACCCCGTGCAAATCCCCTTTCGGGTTTTTTCCAATACGAATAGCTAACCGCTAGCAAAAGCTGGGTGACGAACGGCAAAAATGTTCGTGTCTATCTCTACCATACACCCAGGAGTTGCAAAAGGGGATTCCCTCAGTGGAACCATCGCCCTGAGAGGAGGGGACGCAGGAATGTGGCCGCGCGTCCTCAAGGCGGCAGGGAGAAAGGAAGAAAAAGCGAGATCGGGAGAGGGAGAAAGCGGGGAAAGACGGAGGCACCCCGGGATTTCTCCCTAAAAAACCTGTCCTCTCCCAGGTCATCGCACGGTCTCGCCCCACCACGCGACTCTCTCTCAAGCTGTACCTTGCGCGACGCTGGCTGGCTGGCTGGCTGGCTGGCTGGCTGGCTGGCGGCTGCCGCCTCCGCGCCCGTCTGCCTGCCAGGCTCTCAAGCTGCTGCTGCTGCGACTCGTGGCTCCGCCACTGATGCTCTCGCTGCTGCCCGCGCGCTCTGTGTGTGTGCAGCGGGCAGAGGAACACGCGGGAAGCCCTTCCCTCCGCCCACCTCGAAAACCGAGACAGGCCCATTGACGTCACTTTGACGCCAGAGCGACGCGCGATCAAGCGCGAGGCTGAATGAGAAGGGAGAGAGAGACATCCAACCGTTGCCAAGAGACGGGCTGCTCTGACGCGCGCCCAGATGGACCCGTCGCCCTGGAGATCGGGAAGGTGAGGTGACGTTCGCGCCGACCGAGGGAGGGAGGGAGCGAACGGGGAAAGGAGGCAGGAGGAGAAACTGCCCTCCCCGCTCCGCTCATCACGTGATCGTTTGTTATCATTGCAGGGGTCGCCCCCTGCCGGGGCCGTTGCTCCTGGGATTAACCCTCCGCGCGCCGGAGCGCAGTCTGGGTTTGTTTAACCCGTTGTGCTCTGAACCTTAGAATCAGAGCTGAGCTGTTCAGCAACTGGAGCCCGAGCTGGGTTTAACGGCTTCCACGTGCATTGCCTTGTCCGAGACCTTGATTAACCCTATAGAGTCCAGAGCCCGCAGTGGATGTGGATTTAGCCTCTTGGCGCAGCGCAATGTAAAACGAGCGGCCGCGGCAGCGTGTCACCCCCATGTGCACCAAAATACGATTATGCTATCCATGTTCACGCGCCAGACCGCGCGCAGGGATTACATCTCGCCACGCTGCAGCTGAGGTGAATGACTGCACGTGTAAATCTAGCCTAGTCTTGGGGACACAGGCAGATGAAGGTCTTGTTTTATTTTAAGCCACTACCGGCTGTGAATTTGGGGGTTGTAGCTGGAGTAGATGATGCACCACACCCGGCTTCTCTTGCTAAAGCCCAGGCATCCGCAGCAAAACACTGCTCTGGATCCGAAGTTGCACCCTAGACCAGCTGCAGAATGAAAGGCACAACCAAGCGACATAGGCTGGGGTATGATTATACATTTTACCCCCTTTGCCGCCATCGGAAAGGTTTCACTTATAGCATTGTTTGTGTTGGTTTGTTTTAATGCTATCGCCACCATTCTGGAGTCCGTGGAGAAAATATTATCTTGATATTCCCATACTGCGGACCTTAAATCTGCTGAAAGGGATGTGGTAGTGTTAACGAATTTAATCCATAAGTGGCTTTCTTTTGGTTTGGTATTTTGCTTGTTTTAAAGATTGTCCTCCTCGGTCTCTGTGTCTCAGAGCAGCCTTATCTGAAAAGGCAGGGATGGAAAACGAAGCCCTTCGTTTGTTGGGAAGAAGCAGTCAATTAACAAGATATCCTGAATGAAAAAATGAATGCTTCCATTGAAAATAAGTGTGGCCACAGTGGGCCGTGAACAAAGTTTTATATATTAAAAAAAGCAGTCAAAAGTGCCTTGTAGGTATTATGTTTATTTTATGTGCTATGTGAACAAATAGTGCTAAACCAAAATACCTGCAGTGACCTTGACAATTTGTCCTGGATTCAGTTTGTCGGTCACCTTGCTCTAACTCCTTCAGTGTTGTGACATTTAAATTTGCCAAGCTCTTACTCAGATGAGTAGTTTAGGCAATCTGGTGCATTGCCAGGAGTCTGAAGACCAACTAGTTTAATTTGCTGAGAGAAGAAAAGAATGCATCATTCTCTAAATTAGCGTGGAGAACCATACCAGCATGGAAGAAGCCAGGGTTTTTAAGCCAGCAGCAATGGCCATTTGGGGTGGGATGACGCCTCCTTCAGGAACTGTGGTTTGAAAGAGAACTGTGCATATACACAGTTTTAGTTCATACATTTACACCGTTCGTGATGTTCAGCTCTAGCCCAGCTGCACTTTTTTTGTGGTTGTTCCACTGGGTCCATTGAGTTAGTAGGATAAATATAATAATTTTTAAAAGAGGTGAAAAATGCAGAATCAAACATTCTGAAATACATTTAAATGATATTTAAATGGCACTGTGATTGCACTAATACAATCCGCATAGCTGTTTCTTTGAAGATGGAAAGGAGCATTGCTTAGGTGCAGAATTTAGGCAGAAATCCTGTGTTGCTTCATGTGGGAGTAAATGTCTTGAAAACCAATTTTAGGATGCATGAGGAAACATAGAGAAGATTAGGCTGTATATCACAGATAGCCTTCAAGATGTTTTTGGACTTCCAGCTCCCATCAGCTCCAAACAGCTTGACTAATCAGCAGGATGGAAATTATAGTCCAGCAGTATTCAGAAGACCACAGAGTTCCTACTCATATTGTTTATCCTTAAGAATTTTCATATACTTTCATCTCTGCCTGCTATGCAGTACCTACAAAACTCCCTTCCAATGAGCTAAAAGTTATAGTAGATTACCTGGAGAGAGTGCAGATCATAGAAACAAGATACAATCTTGGCAGAATGGAAGTCTGTGAGTTCAAGTTCCTTAGGCTCCTAAACACAGCTTTGCTTGGGCTTCTGTCTTATTTTTTTCTGTGTGTGTTTGTGATGGAGGTGATGATATGTACTTGGTCTCTGATTATGCTTTTATGTCCATACGACTCTCAGAAAACTCTTATATGCATTACCAAGCTAACATTCCTTATTGCTAGGAAATGAAACTTGCTGTTCTCAGTGAAGCTTTTGAAGCCTAACAAAACAGCATGTACAGAACAAGGCTGCAAGTGGACAGATCCCTCAAAGCAATTAAAGCAAAATACATTATAACAGGCTGTACTTCATCCCTTGAAATGCTCGGAAGACACTGTCCTAGATTCAACCACACCTGGAAGAAAGCAACAATTTATTGTAGCCCTAAGGTAAGCAATTTATCGGACAGGAGTAGCTGATATTGACCAGCTCAGCATAACTGGCAAAGTGATCTATTAATAATGGCACACTACAGAGGTGAGGAATGAGCCCCACTGGAGTCTTATGGTTGTCCTATGCAGCCTTCTGGAATTGATTCCTATGGGTCTACTGTTCTGGGATCACTTCTTCGCATACTCCTATCAAACTTCCTTCCTCTTTGACACCAGTTTCTCAGATATTTTAAAAGCCTTCATTCATTTATAACTGTAGATATCTGACTCCCAGTGTTCCTCCTTTCCAATTTCTTATCCTTTTGCATTCTAATATTTTTATTATAAGCCTGAGGGAATGGTCTGCTTTTCATTCTGTGTAAGAAGCTCCAGGAGCTTTTTTTTTTTTTAATCGAGACTGTAAGGTTTCGCCCACATTTCTGCTTGTCAGGGTTTGTGATGCTGAAGTGGTATTTGCCATGCCATGTTTTACGTTCTTAATGATTCCCTTGATAAAGCAGTTTCCCCACTTTTCTGTCTGCCAATTTCAGTTAAATATTAATGCAATGTTTTGAGCTGGTAGGGAGTTTTGAGAGATGGAGCTCTTAAAAAAAAAGAATGCCTTGTAAATCTGCTGCACCACTTTTGAAATCTGTGTAGAAATGAGTCAGCATGTTTTCCCCCCAACATTGCAGTGTGCAAGGCTTTTCAATATATCATCTGGCTGCCTCCGTCAAGAGACCCGTGTGCGTTCTGTGTGCATGAAGCATCTGCATCAGCCTGCTTTAACCGGTGTCCTCCAGATGCATTGGATTACTGCACCAAGCACACCCAGCACCACGCTAGGGAAGACTGTGCTACACAGATGGACTTGCCCATTCAGTAGAAGGGCTAAGTCTGTGTGTACCCCAGGGCTGGCATCAGAGGAGGGCATGTTGGGCACCAGCCAAGGGTCCACACCCCAGCAGAGAGGCATTGGCCAGAGCCCCCTGGAGTTGTTCTGCCCCTTCACCTAGCCCAGCCCCAGCCAATGGTGACGTGTTGCCACTACCTACTGACTCACTAGCTCCCCACCTGTCAAGCAAATGATAGCAATGATAAGAAATAATTGAGAAAGTAGACTCAATGCGGGCCCGTGGAAGATCCTCAAAAACCTGAGGCCAGCTATGTTGTGCAAGTGCTGTTCCGAGCCTGAACAAAAAAGTTGCACAGGCAAATTAATCTCAGCTTGGGAAGACCTTGAATACAATCATATGGATAGTTTGAAACTCTCTCAAGATAATTTCTAGACACAAACAGGGGGTTATAATGGAGGGGTGTTTTTATACAGTGAAATAAAGGCCGTGCCATTCTATAGTCGCTAGATGCCTGCAGCCAGATCATTGGCTAGTTGATTCAGAAACAAATTCAGTCTAGCCACCACCCACTGCTTCTTGGCCCGACAAGCCCTATTCGGCTTGCCAGGTCACAATGCTGTGATGAAATCAACTCTGACAGGATTCTTCCATCAGGGGCTCTAAACTTTAGACTTTGTAGCTCTGAACACACTTGATGTGCTCCTTGTTTGCCCACTTCCTTCCCAGCTAAAAGTGTGCTGTCTCTCCAGATTTATAATTTGCCATAAAGGTTGCTTTGGCCCTGACTCTTCTTTTCCTCAACTCCATCGTCCTGTGCAAGGCATTCCACATGTATGCTGACTGAATGTGTGGAGTGAGGAGCAAGATTGTGCCCACTCTGTCTGCTCCCCTGATCCTTGTATTTCAGCAGGAGTGTAAAAGCAGTTTTATTCACAAATTCAAATTAAGCAAGGAGTTTATCCCTCACTTGTTCAAAAAAGACACTTGTGCTTGGGAAAGTCAGATAACGTATGCCCATCTTGCAGGGTGGATGGCTGCTTGGTTGGTAAGTTGGTGGATGGGTAACAAAAGAAATGCCTAACAAAATAGAAACATCTTCACTAGGTGCCCAAAAGCCACAAGAGAAGGGCCCAAGCAGGACTTGTAAAGGAGGGAGCTCTTCATTCTAGCACCAGTTCAGCTACCTCAGTGAGATGCACTGAGGTGCTTCCTCCTCCTCCCTCACATGGTGCGTTCAGATAAGACATTTATTGTGTAGTTGTTCTGCCTTTTTCATGGAATTTTACTGTGGTTGCAGACAACATTGTCTTCCATTTGTAACCCTTGCATGGGTCTACAGCTGCTGCTTTCTTTTTTTACCACAGGAAAAGGGAAAAGTGGAATAGCCACTGCTCGATATCTAGGAGCACCCCCCCCACACACACACACACACACAAAACCAAAAACAAAACCCACATGCTCACAATCATGATTCAGGTGGCCATTTGGTGCACTTGGCTTCATTATGGTTGCCGCATGTGAATGATGTAATGGCAAACTGCATTTAAATGAACCTTCATTTTTCCTAACTTGGCAGCCATCCTGTTATTCAGTAGATTCTGTATCAGAAGCATAGATCAGAAAAAGAGACCTTTCAGTAAAGCAATAACTTTTCGGACTCTGTTGTATTTGAGGCCAAGCCAGGTAGACTTCACCAGTGAGCCAGCAGGACTTCATCATAGACTACCTCATAGGAAGGGCCCTCAGCTTGTGATGCAGAAAAGCCAGCAGGGAAACTGTAACATTTTGCAAACAGCCAAATTCTCTTTAAGCTCACATCCCTGGTCTTTTTCCTCAAAGTAGGGCCACCGGAATTTCCATGGGTGCTAGATCAGGTACAAGCTCCAAACTGCTGCTCCTCAGGGAAGATTTGCAGGTAGGTCATCACAAGTAAGCCGTCCATATGTGAACCGTATGGATAATTGTGATCAATGCTGTAGGAATTGTTCTTTACAATACAAAGATGTATAAAACTTCAAAAACTAAGGAGCTCAAAGTATCCAAACTATATCCAAACATTGACATTATGTATTATGTACTATGTAACAAGGCTTGTTTGTTCTTCAGGCATCAGTCCCATAATGCTATAGCACGTATTTTGAGCTTCTCTTTCCTTAGATTTTGAAGATGCTTCTATCTTTGTATTGTGATAAATAATTGTATCACTGATGTGGCATATACCATTGAGCACAGGGAGTATGTGAAGTTTATAAATATTGCATACTGTTTTTCAGAATTGCCTGAAGAAGGGCCTGCATGGGGTCCAAAATGCATTGAAACTATTTTCTTTCATTGAACAACATATCCTTCTTGTCTACCCCTATGCTTTTGGCTTTTTATCATTCTTTGCAGGGTTCCCCATTTTCAGGCATTGAAGATCTGGTTATCCAATAAATCCCAGCAGGTACCTTCTTTGTAACCAAATGTTATGTGTGAGGGGGTTGGCACTTCAGGTGCCTGTGTATGGTAATCGACTCTACAGACTCGACCCATCAGTCTTTTCCAACTGGCAAACATTCAGGAGGAAAATAGCCTGTCCTTTGGGTTTACTGAAAAATGTTCCAAAACGTAGTAGGTTAGGTGGAATTTGTTTGCTGGAGAAGTTGGCAACTTCCAATCAGAATGCATTCTCAGACTTGTATAATCCAGTTGAACCAGTCAAATTTATTTCTGAGTAGATATGGATAGAATTGTGCAGTAAAGACACAAAGAGATATCATCATTCATCCTTTCATTGGCTATAGCAGAGGCAGAACAAAACCTGTTGACTCATCTGAGAAACCAGCATCTTCCATCCTTGAACGATTTCCATTCAAACTAGTCATTATGAGGGCAGGTGTGTAGCTTTATTCATTGGTGCTTGGGCTTGCTTGTTTGCCTCATCTCATTCTATTCCTGTTGTGTGCCATGTCTGTTATGTTCCTAAATTGTAGACCTGTAGGTGGGGCCTGTTTTTAAAATGCTTGATAAACTTTACATTCTCTATAATGGAGGAAAAGATAAAGATATTTCACAGAGTGGCTTCAGCAACTCATTGAATGACAACTTTTGTGTTGAAAGTCAAAGCTAAAGAAATTTCAGTGCAGCACTAGTTTTAATCCCAACCAAATGGATAACATTCACTTACTTATAGAAGCCATACTTCAAATTCTTTATTTCCTCAGTAACCGAACTTTCCGAACCACTGTAGCAGCATAGACCAACACTGTCAGAGGATTCACTGCCAATAGCAAAACTCAGACTATTTTAACACAAGCTACTTTTTTACTAAGCACAAGGACAGCTTTGTATTGGGCTTAAATAGGTAAACCACCTTCATTAAGTACCGAGCATGTTCACACAATCTGCTAAGCTACCCTGTGAATAAACTACATAGTATCTGTGTTTGGACATCATGACAAACAACACTGTGTGGTTTCCACAGTGCACAGTTTTTTATCTGAATATGCCTGACAGTTGTTTACAAGGTGTCTATGCTAGCATGGTTTCTATCCTCCTTGCTCAGACAAACAATCAGATTTATGGTGATAATTCTCCTCCCTCCTACCATTTCCTTCCTTCAGTCCTCCAGGCAGGAGACACCCAGGAGACGAATGAAGTCCCTCTATTTGACAGCTGCAAACGTGAGCTGAGTTCAGTTTACCACAGCTGTCAAGCAGTCTCTGCTGTGCTAATGGGCTGCTTTTGTTAAGCAGCTGTCTGCTGCTAGCCTTGGTACCACAATGGAGTCAGACCTGATGTCCTTATAGGCCCCTTCCAACTCTACTATTCTACGATTATGACAGCAAGAAATCATAGAACAGACCATTGCTTTGGTTCATGGTTTCTAAGGATCAAAACATGCCATACGGAAATTTTATGACACAGTTTGGAAAGCATGACAGATCTGTAGTTTTTTCAGGTTTTGTTTTTTCAGGTTATGCAAACCTGCCTGTTGCCTCAGGAAGAGATAAGTAATATTCCTCCTTATTTAAATGTTTATCCTTGGTGACAATAGCAAACTATACTCTGTCCACAAAAAAGAAAAAGATTAAACCTATAGTGATGGGCACCATGATTTATTATTGGAGGATTGCTTAATGACTGCTGACACAGAGTGCTCTATTTTTCTTTTTCAAAGAGCTTGTTTAAAAAAATAAATTTTCTGGACTCTTTTGCTAACAAAGCTGATTAGATGAGCCAAAGATAATGTCTCAAGAGGCAGATTTGCAACTCAAGGATTAGGGTATTTTAACAGATACTTTGATTATATTTATATCCCAGTGATTGGGACTCAAAAGTGGCTATCCAAGATGGAGCTGAGCTCAAGAAATCCAAGATTTACCATCCTCATGTCATGTTTCAGCCCTGAGGACATTGGGAATTTTCTAGTGTCACATTTGGGATTCTAAATATATGCAAAGGAAAAGAAGAGGAGGTTGACTGGCAGGAAGGGACAGATGTATCTTGATATTAGTAGCTCAGAAAATGTGAAGTGAAACAGTGCAATTGCTACAGATATTTCATTCAAGGAAATTTATTTCAAAAACAGATAAAATCAACAGTGAAAGGTAGTGTGAAGCAAAAAAAAAAAAAAAAAAGATTTCTAAACAAAAAAGATTGCCATAATGGTGTCCAGTCATGCTTTTGACTTCAGAGCCTTGAGAAATAATTAAATCTAAGTGTGTCAATCTTGGTCCAAAAGAGTTAGTGTCTGTGTGCCCAACCTGTTCATAAGGGTAAAGAAGCAACAGTAGCCCTGTTCCAGGTGTCCAGAAAAAGGCTTAAAACAAACTTGTGAGGAGAAAAGGCCTTCTAGCCCCACTCTCTCTTGTTCTGTTTGTCATTTTCAACAGGACCAGGCTGCATACCCCTCCTCATGCATTGATTTTAACCTATTTTTGAAAGGCTGAACAGGACTTACTACAATTGGCATGCTTAGGGCAATTGTACATGATGAAAAAATACATCCAGAAAGCATTTTGTAGGCCCTCTAATATTGTACAGAATATAAAATCCCTTGAGCACTAATGTCTGTGTTTCTTTTTTCTTTTGAAATTCTCCAAATACTGCAGTATTTTAAAAAAATACATTTATTTTAATTTCAACACAATTTCATAAAATACCAGTTTTAGCTGGAGAAATAACAAGAACTGTTCTATGGTTACTAGTTGAGTACACGTTTGCTGGTGTTAAGATGCTCTGAAGGGGGTTCCATACAGAATGTTCCTGCCTGCAGTACAGAGGTAGTTTTGCCAATTTCCCCATCCTCAGTGCCACTTCTCCCACTGTACCTCAACTCTTCAGAATAGATTTTTTAGGGAGCACAGGGAACTTCAGGGAATGCCTCAAAAATTGATTCTTTTCTCATTCCACTAGTAAGATTCCTCTGCTGGATCAAATACCTTTGATGTTTGCAGAAGACAGACTCTGGATCCAATTCATGGTATCCATGCTCTGGAAGTGCTGAAAGAAAGTTTGCAAACATATATATGATATTGGTCATACCATTTCTTAATTCAGCACTATCTTGTACTTCTTCAATGCTTCTTCCTTTTCAAGGCATATTGCTGTTTTCACTTAGCATACACGCCTGGCAAGTGGTTTAAGTAGGTGTTTAAAGTTCACTCAGCATCACCCAAGAAACTAATTCAAGCTATGAACCCAAGTACAATTACGTGAAAGTAGCCACAAGCAAATATTTACACGGCTGTAGGCTGAAGCTTGTATCCCATTCCAAAAGTGACGCCATGAATTCCGAAGGTCTTGCATCACTCTGGCATGAGCCTGCTATTTGTGCTGTTTTATATTGCTTATAAAGGGTTGCTGACCATGCGTATCATTAAGCAATGCCAACATGTGATCCCCTGATTCCCCAAAACATCTAAAAGTGAACCACATACTTACAGGAACAAAAAGCAGCTCGTTATCCGTTTATGTAGTGATAAGATCTTTGACACACTTGAAACATTCTGATGGCCTGATGGATTTTTTAAAATGAGTGTAATGCTATCTGAACTCTGTTTTCCTTCCTCTGATAAGATACATTCACGTCTCTTCAGCCCTAAATATTGCAGCATGCCCTGTTTCCTTCACTTCTTCTGGAGTTTGAAAGACAGAGACTCTAGGAGTACCAAGTACACATTCCTGTTTGGTCACTGCAAATCATTTTAGGGCCACATACTGCCTAAGGGCCCAGGGTCCACCTTTAGCTTGTAGTTTTTAGAAATAAAGTTTTCTGAGGTCTTATTTGTGAATGGAAAACAATTGGGTTCTGACTAGCCTTTACTCTGCAAAATGGTGTTTCTAGCAAGTGGAACAAGAATCACTGCTTCTGAGAACAAATTCAGCTGCACAGAAGGAGTCCTGTAGGAACATATCAAAGGCCAATCTCATGCAGCATCCTACTGGACAAGCAGATGGCACTGGGAAGCTCACAAGCAAGACACATGGACACTTTTCACTTCCCTTTAAAAGCTACAACTTAATAGGGTCATTGACAAAGCAAGACTACACTACTGACCAGCAATAAGTGCACACTTGCACATTTGCAAAACAACAACAACAAAAGTAATAATGAAAAGAATACATCTGTGCAATTATGGGGGGCTGAAAAATATTTTTAAAGGGTAGTGAGCCAATGACAGTCTCTCCAGAGTACTCAGTACCGATACTCAATAACTGGTTTTCAGTAGCAAGGTGGATCTAGTGTTTAGCTTTCATGACTAGCTACTGATAGCCTTCTCCTCCATGAATTTATCTAATCCACTTTAAACTCACCTAAACTGGTGGCCATTAACATATAACATGGCAGCAAACTCTACACTATCATTATGTGCTGCATGAAGAAGTACTTTTTCTGCCCTACATCTCCCACCATACATCCCACCCAGGGTTGCAATATTATGAAAGAAGAAATATTTATCACTCTTCTTTTTTGTACTATGCATAACTTTATATCCATCATGTTTAGCTGTAGGTCAAACACAGCCACAGATTATGTTAATTGCATAGTATATAGATGCAGAGATAGAGAGATAGTATTCTAGGCTAAACACAAGCAGTCCAAATTTGAATTGGATCCACTTTATGCAAAGAAAGATTAAACTTCCTCCACTGTGTGTTCCTAATCTTTTTCTTGCAAGAAGGGAATTCCAGTTGGAGTTAATGGAGGCTTTCCCTTCTCTTGTTCATACATTTTTTCTGCTATACTGCCATAAAAGTCAATGCTAGCATTTACTGACTATGGATTCACTAAACATTTGCCATCATTCCTGTTTTTAGTGTTTACCTATTCAATCTTATTACCAATGGTACATGATACTGTTGCTATATTTAAATGACAGCTCAGCAGCTATCATGAACAAAATGTGTGACGTACAAAATTACTAGGAAACTTAGGGTGTAATCCTGCACCTGACTAGACAGCAATAGGAAAGGTTAGAAATTCATTTAGAGGCTGGAGCCGGACCTCTGATTCCTACCTGTGGCCATACAGGTGGCGCAGCTCTTTCCATACTGACTGCGTCTCTCAGGACAGAAGACCAAACTCAGAGCTGATGTCGTTCGCGGTGGAGAAAGGGAGGGGAGGAGAGTGGAATGCGTATTCCAGCAGGACCTCAGCCTCTGCTCCTCACAAGAAGGGGGAAATACTTAGACTAGTCATCAAAGTGTTTTGTGTTGCAGCAAAAGTGAGGAGGCAATCTTCATCTCCTGCTCCATCTGTCCTTGGTAGGATGCCCTTAATCCTCCAGGTTTGGGGAGTTATAGGCAGCTGCCCTAGATTGTACTGTTAGTCTCTAACAGGATTCTGCAAGCAGAATTTACAGAACTCATTTGGACTGACACAGACTCCCATCCCACTCATCAAGTCAACTGAACCATGTGTGGTGCTATAGGATGAAACCAGTGCAAGTTTCCAGTACATTTACGCCATGAGGTAAATCTGATGACAGAAGCTATCCAATAGTGTATTTTGGTCCCTGTGGTCCTTTAGCAGTAATTAGGGCCTAATTCAACTCTTTGACAACACTGTCAAGACATTTACTAATTTGAGCAGTAGTAAGATCAAATTATGAAGGCTCTTGTGGTGGTGATTTTGGTGACACATGAACTGTATATATTTAATATCTTTATAAGCCATAAGAATGCCAGGCTGGGTATGATGTGGGATACTTTTTTAAGTTCCCATAAGTAATTCTCAGTATTACTTAAACAATGTTTCTTTATTATATGGAAGCAGTAGTTAACTCTGGTGAAGTAGAATTGTATAGATTACAAATACTCCAATTTCTGTGGGAAATGTGACCATGAAATGGGCACATATTTCCATATGTGGTGGGAATGTGAATATATAATAAAATTTTGGAAAGAGGTTTTTAAAGAGTGTAGTAAAATGCTAAGTTTAAACATAGATATATGTCCTGGAATTGCATTACTCTCAGTATTTGATAAAAAACAATGGAGCTGGAATAATAAAGAATGAATAAAAATTTAATATCTGCAGTGAGATTAATTATAGTTAAGAATTTGAAAGTAAAATATGATTACCAATTATCTGATTATATAGAGAACTTTGAAATATAAGTATTAATGACAAATTAACATGTGACATTAAGTTAGAAAAGAGCATATAACGAAAAATGTAATGATGTTTGGGGTGTATTTATCAAGTATGTTTTTAAAAGCGGGAAAGCATTCAAGCCTTTGAAAGAAACTTTACAATTTTGGAAGGGTGGAATGTCCTGAAATGTTTGAATGAGGGTGTTTTTTTCCTGATTGTAGCATGTATCATTGATCCTGGTGAAGCGGGGACACTGTATTGTAAGAATTATTTTAATTGGATGTTTAAATTTGTTTCTATTTAAAAATATTAAAAGTTTATTTAATTTATACAAATCTATAGTGACTCCAGAACTGGCTCTAGTGCTGTTCCTCCAACCCCATGTTTACTTTTTCATTCTGGTGTTATATCAGGGCATTAAAATAAGTATACATAAAATCATTGTTATATTATTTAATGAAATATTTCTCTGCCATCATACTTTCTCACAGGAAGGAAAACAGAAATAAAAATGACAACTTACAGTTGCACAGTGCTGCCTAAAGATGGATACATCCAAATATAATAGATTGAGGAGAGAAAACCCTCAGGAACTGGGTACATGAATTGCACAAAGAGGTCTCCTTCCATTGGGATTGATAGGTTACATTAAGTCTATTGCTTCCAGTGTGGCAATGTGCAAGGATCCCCTGTGTGAAGCAAACAGAAGAATATGGCATTGCAGAACAAAGAAGAATTGTTAGAACACACATCGCCAATTTTCCCAGGCAAAATTAATTCCATTCATTTCTCATCCCTCTCGACTTCTCTCTAATTGTTGCTCTCTCTGATGCATCATAAAGTGTCTTCTCCAACGTCAGATGCATTGTTGTAATTCCTGCCCACCCCCACCCTCTCTGTAAGCAAAACTCTAATCCTCTCCTTGCATTATATGGGAGCTGCGTCACTGACATTTTCAAGTGTATTCTCTGAAAATAAAAAAGCAGGAAGAGAAAGGAAATAAAGAGTGGGATTCCATAAAACCTACCAGGGTAACTATCACAGCCACTAGGCTTTAAGAAAAAGACATATCATCATAACTTTTTAAAGGTCAGATGTATTTAATGCACTCTGGGGTTGCTTTCTCCATTCATAAATTCCTGGAGGATTAACTATATCTGCAGACTATGAGCAGCTCAACAGAATTTCTGAATGACATTGAATCATCCTTCAATATGTATTATCAACCTAGGAAGAGGATATAAACTTTCTCTACAGAAAACATGTATTGTGCGCTCGCGATTCCTTACCCATGCTAGTTTGTCAGTGCTTTACACACTGCTGTCATCTTTCAGGGCCTCTCCTATACTTTGCATGCATTTCAACAGCATTTCAAAAAAAAAAATAAACAATGAGTTGTTAGAGGGCTAGCATACTATAAACCACTACAAAATTGCTGTGCATTTTTCCAGTGTGCCTATACTGCGGCACCAGCTTGTGGTTCTGTAATGGAATAATGAGAAAGAGAGAGAAAAACCATAAAAAACCATGGTGGGAAAACGTGTAAAGGAGTCAATCTTTAAAAAAAAAGTATTTTTATTTATTTTATTGTGACTTCATTTGTTTATTATATTTTAATTGTATTGTTTTATGAATTTTATTTGTTGATTTTATATTGTAATGGCCACTCAGAGAGCATGTTGCTAATGGGCGGTTTTTAAACAAATAAATAAATAATCCCGTAAAAATATCAGGAAGAAGAGCCTTGGCAAAGGGGGGGGGGGGGGGTGAAAAAGGTTAAAGCCTAATATAGTCATTTAAATAGTATGTGTTTGCAGTCATTTTTCTGATAGTATTCCAGTTCTCAGTGGTTATAGAAATGTTATAATAATAATAATAATAATAATAATATTTCACCCAGAAATTCTGCAGTGTTCAGGCTGACCCATATGTTGAGTAGCCAGGCAATCTAATGCATTCATTATAAGCAAAACCAGGCTGGGCCTGCCATGCAGCAGAGTAAAGCTCCCTGTTTTAAGCTGCACCATGAGAGGGTGCATGATAGATAAAAGCAGGAATTAAATGTTAGTCCTAGTGGGACAGGAGCACCATCTGGAATCTACATCAAGCACCAAAAGGACTTGGGCTAGTACTGAGCAAAATGACTGACTGTTGCTTCCTGACTGCAAACTTTCCAAATTTGGGAGACTGTTTTAGATGATTCATACCACATATAATCTGGACTGAACTTTTCAGAAGTGCCTATATCAGGTGTAGGACAGTCTGCAAATCCTTTTAACTTAGGCTGTGCTTATGAATGAGTTATTATACGTTTGTGTCCATGGTTGCAATGTAAAATAAAAGGGACCTGGAAACATTTCTACCGTTTTTCCAATATGCTTTGCCTTTCCCCCAAGGTGCCTTGTTGTCTGCATTGCTACCACAGCAGCATTTCAGGTGCCAAAGAGGGAGGGAGAGAATTGGAAGTGAACGTAACGTGTTGTTGAAGTTCATATTCCAAACCAAGAAAGTATGAACCTTGGCATGATTCCTTGGTTAGGAATATGAACCTCAGCAACAGGCAATAAATAACTGGAAACAGTATCTTGGGATCATGGTGGGTAACTCAGTGAAAATGTCAACTCACTGTAATGACGATGGCAGTGAAGAAAGAAAAGGTCCATTGTGTGGCCATTTCTTTAATTCTGTATACAGTTCTAGTCACTCTATAGAACTACACTCCCCAATCTGGTGCCATGCTGACTGGGAATGATGGGAGTTCCAGTCCAACACATCTGGGGAGCACCAAGTTTAAGAAAACTGTTATATCTTACAAAGGCTATTGTTGAGCTGAAAAAGCACCCCAAAGGGTCAACTGACAGGAGCACCAATGGCCCAGCCAGGAAAGGCTAAAGAATTTGGGACTGGAAAAAGAGAATAAAGAAACAGAATTCCTTCCCTGTAACAATAGACCTCTGGGTTATCTACTGAGAGGCAGTGAATTTGGTTTGGACAACAACAAATTTTTCATAGAACACCTCATTAATTTAAGGAATGCATGAATGCATAAGGATGGGATGGTAGGTGGTCACCAGCTTTGTTGGCTTTAAAACAGGATTAGACCACTCCCTGAAGAAGGATCTAGCCATCAATAAAAGGTAGGATAAGCGAATTGAACTTCCATGTACAGAAACGGTACGACTGTGAATATTAGTGGTTGGGGGTCAACAGCAGAAGCAGGCCATTTCTTTCTCACCTTTTTACTGCAGAATATTGGACTAGATAGAACTTTGGTCAGATCCAGCAAGGCTTTTCTTATTTACTAAATCATACTTAATTCAAGATACCACAACTTCTTGGTGGGCAAGCATCTTTTTTGTAACAAAGGACAACCATCTATTTAAAGGGCTGTCC